AATAAAGATGGCGCCCGCCACGTGGAGGCGCCCTAGGGGTGATCGCCCACGTTCCTAAGTCCCGGGCTGATCAGGGCAATGAGGCTTCCTCTCCGGTCCTAAAAACGGCCGAGGAAGCTAGGCAGTAGTTTTTTGCCCCTTCTTAGGGCGAGCGGCGTTTGCGGTGGGGGGGAATACCAGCCGCGCTATCACAGCGCGATCAGTAAAGCCGCTGCAAGCGCGGCGAAAGAAACGGCAGGCAAAAGATCGAATGGGGGGGGGGATTAGCGCCGAAGCGCGAAAAAACCGCCCGTTCTACCTCCCCCCTGGGGGCGAAGAAGCTTGCTCCCCTTAAATCCTCTGTCCTGCACCAGAAGGCTAAGGAAAATACTCGATTTTCTATAAAAGGTATTCAAACCTGAGAGAAGTCTTGGATCGGCCAAAGAGTAGGAATGCACAGCCTAACTTGACGACGGCTGAGCGCAAAACTGGGGAACGCAAGAGAGCCACGTGATGGAGGGCGGAGCGTTCCTCAGTGATTGAGCTCAGCCATCAGCGACGTACACTGAAGCACCTCCCACACTTTGGATGATCCGAACGGCTCTCAGGAGAAATATGTTTACATGAATTGTTTTTGCTGCATTCAAACTTTATTAAATACGCATATACTATAATTTTGTTTCTTTATTTGCCTGCCTTTAGATTAAGATTTCTTACTCCATTTTCATTCTTAATGAAGGTCATGCTATTTCAGTGTTGATCTCTTCCAATTTGTTCTATTCTATATTATTTTAATTAATTTGTAAAGTATAGTATATAACAGGATTGTCAAACTCAAGGCTGGAGGGCTGGATTTGGCCCATAGGGTGCTTAAATCTGATCCATGGGGCCACCCTGGAAACAGCAAAGGACTGGCCCAGTGCCTCTACTAGGGAAAATGGGCTCCCAATCTCCATTTTTGGCTGGAACGGCCTCCCACAACCCTCTGCCAGTGAAAATGGAGCCCTCCCAAGCTCTGTTTTCACTGGCAGAGGGTTGCAGGAGGCGTTCCCAGATGAAGACAGATATTGGGAGCCCTTTTTTACTTGCAGAGCACTCAGGCCACCACAGGCACCCCTGACACAAGTGATGTCAAGCTGGCTACACCCACTCTGACCCCCCAAGGTCAAACACAAACCTGATACAACCCTAAATGAAATAGAGTTTGACATCCCTGGTATATACTATTTGTTCTATATAACTAATTTAAATAGTTCAAAAATGTAAACAAGTAGATTTTTTTTTCTTTTTCCCCTTTAGCAACTTGTGTTGAAGACATATATTACAAAATCATCATAGATATATTTCCCTTTCTGCAGAAAATAATTATTTATTCCATAAAAATTGGAAAGTTGTTAGTATCTGAGATCCAAGGAGTTTACAGCCAATTGTTGAAAACATTGCAATACTCCTTTTAAAGCATTCATAGTACTGCTTATGTCCTGCAATGTGTGCCTGAGGCAGAATCAAACCAAAATATTTTTTCCAACATAATTTTAAGGAGATGAAAAATCACAAGTTAAGGATATGCAGAAATACTTGGCTTACAACATTTGGTCTGTCATACAATAGAATAAATTTCATCTTTTTGTTGTAAAAACAACTCAAAATGAACAGAAATGAATGAATACCAATAGTTCTTATACTGCACAAATTCCTATGTTAAAGTATTTATCCTCAATTATTTCTGTGTTGGTTGAAATTATGTAATATTTTCTAAGAAAAACAGAATTTACTAATACAGTAAATATACACCATTCATTCAGTGATTGTTCAAAGTTAGGATGGTAACCTGAACACTTCAGTCATTTGATCATGTTCTGGACTTAAGGCAACCAGGCAGCATTTACAACTCATTGCAGTACTCTGAAAATGCCATTTTGACCTTGGCCAGAAAGTCATGGGACGTGTAAGTTTCTGGGAAAATGTCCCCCAGCATCCTATACTCATACTGGCCATTCACATATCCTCCCCAATTCTCGCCATTTTCCATGCTCCCTCCCCAAAGCTTGCCATGCCTCCCTCACACCCATAAGCATTACCATGCCATCCTAGCACCTCTCTCACTTGGCCTTATCATGATACCCTCACCCTTATGCATTCCCTCACATTTCCCCCAACTTTTGCCAGTCTTTTATTTGAAAAGGGCCACTTTTCTTTCCATATACAACTTAAGGTAATAAAAATATCAATACTTCTTCCTCCTATTTCCCCCACAACAACCTGCAAGGTGAGTTGGGATGAAAGAGTGACTAGCCCAGGAATGGACAACTAATTTTCCCGAGGGGCCACATGAGAAATAGACTGTTATGGAAGGCTAAACCAGAAGGCTGAGCTTAATACTAATGAATATTAATTTTACCATTTTATAAAAAGCAGTAAACTGTATGGTTTTAACTTCATGCAGGCCAGACAAGGATGCAAGGGCTGGGGCCATAAAATGCCCAAGTTAGGCCTAGCCCAAAGTCACCCAAATGATTTTTCATGCCTTAAAGCAAGACCAGAACTCACAGCCCACTAGTTTCTAGGATAACAATACCTCAACGACTACACCATTTTGTCTCAAAACTCAAAAGTGCCAAAAAAAAATTAATCAAATTTTGGAACCATCTATCACAGTGGCAATGTACAAATAAAACATTAAAACATAAACAGTATATAATATTTAAAAAGGCAAGGATGGATTATAAATCTATGTTTAAACTTAAAAGTTAATTAATTTTATCTAATACTCTGCCTCCTATTGTTTTCCCAAAAAAACCGATCGAGTGAGGTGAGTTTGGCTGAATGACAGGCACAAAATCATCCAACTAGCTTTCACACAGAAGGCAGGACTAGAATCCAATCTTCTGGTTTCTAGCCCTCCCATGCACACCTTTCCTAAACCCCACCATCATTCCCTTGCATTCTCATGCCACTGGCAGTCACTTTCCCTCCACTGGCTTGCTTGAGAGCCATCTAGGAATTGCAACTTCCTGATTTATTTGTAGGAAACCAGCAGGAAATCACCTAGCCTAAGGACAATAGGATTAAGTTAACAATAGTAACCAGGACTGCAGGAATTGCTATCACTAAGTGGTGAAGTTACACTTTACAATCACATCACTTAGCAATGAAAATTATGGTCTCAATTACCATTGTAAGTTCAGTACAACAGCAGTTTACTTCAGTTGTTTCTTTTCATTTCCAAAGTGGAATCTGCCCTTACTACAGCAAGCTCTGCATTAGTAGTTTCTTTTTAATACTTATATATTAGTGGATATAGTTCAATCTTGTGTTTAAAAAGTTTAAAATCTTCAATTTATGTTTCTTCTTCAAATTAGAGAAATTATCTTTTGGAAATAAACATCACCTGGGACACTGATTAGTCTGTTATATTTTGCATTTTTGTCAAACCAAGCAATTGCATTAATCAATTATAGTAACGTGTGGCTAGCAGTCTTTGCTTTCTAAGAGACCATTTTCTGAATGCAGAGTGAAAGTGTACCTACTATTCATAAAGCTGTTTAATCTATAATTCCATTGCAGACCATTTCTGAACTATTGTTCAGACAAAATGGCTAAAAAAAGCCTCTAGGTTTGGGGACATATATTCTTATATCAAATATGAACTGTATCAAGTATTCAGTGGTCAGAAACCAGTTATTTTAAACAGAACATTTTCAAGCATTCTATGTTGTATCACATGTGATTCAAGAATTGTCTCCTGTATTTTTCTTATAGTATAGTGGGTTGCGTTCATGCTATTGATTTAGGCTCAATGGGATAAATTGGGAATAAACTTTTGGATTAAAGTAGTAGATATTTATGAAGCACAGAGAGAGGACTATTCTAGATCTGTGATTAAGAGAGATGTACAGCTAGAACGGCATTTTTTTTCCAGAAGAAAAAAGGGATAGATGTAGGAAAAGCACAAGCTGATTAGCAGCAAAATTCCTACTCTTATGGACAATAGATAACTGCAAAGTGGCTGCAGCAGATGTCATACCACCTTCAAAAAGCAGCTTCAATCTTTTCTACATCACTAATGCAGGAAGCAAAATGTTCATAGGATCTTGGAGGTCTTCTAGTTCACCCCCTGCCCAAGACAGGAGTCATTATGCTCTTCTGGACAGATGATTATCTACTCTTTGCTTGAAAACCATCAGTGATGGAGCACCTATAACTCCAAGAGGCAAACGGTTCCATTGATTAATCCTTCAGGAAATTCATCCTTAATTCCAGGTTGGATCTCCGTCTGATAAGCTTCCAATTGCTTCTTAACCTGCCCTCAGGTGCTATGGAGAATTGATATCCTTTTTCCTGTGATATCACTTCAAATATTGGAGGCCTGCAATTAGGTGTCCTCTAAGCCTTCTCTTCATTAAGCTACAATATCTAATTCTGTTATTTAAGTTTAATTCACCTCACATATTTGATCCAGTTGAGATTTATGAAATGCACTGAACTCACCTTTACTACACTGATCACTGCTATCAAAAGGACCACAGTACTCTAAATTGCCAAGAATACAGAGTGGAGACAGAAAAAAAGGGAGAGTTTGAAATTCACATTCTCTTTTTCATTTTGCTTAGTCATTTTAAGGTTTGTAACCAACTTAGATTTTTTTATTTGAATTATTTTATGTATAATTGTTAATTACATCTTAAAATGAAACTTTTTTTTCTCTTATAACTTTTAATTTAGCTGTTGTGCTTCTACACAGCAAGATTTTATCCACCCTAAAGTGAAATAATTTTAGAATGAATCCATTTTAAGCAAAGGACTCCTGCCACATTTAAAGTATTTATTAATGATGAAAATGACACCATCTCAAAACAGATTGTAGCAGATTACACAGAAGATTAATTGTAGGCTAGACAGTGGGTAAATCAAATCAGCTAACATGCCTCATTAATATATCAAAAATAGTTGAAGTATTTCAGGCTTTGATAAACATCATGTACACATTTCCATAATTGTGTTATTGTTTTAGACAGGTATTCATATGTAGGAGATAAGCAACTTTGCCATTCTTTCCAAGCTTTGCATACTCAAGTCAGGCTGAGCCTTTATTGTAGTAGAAGTGTGATTTGCTCAGTGAAACTTCTTTTGAGTATTTTTTACATACATATATGTATCTCAAAATGTTTACATTAAAGATACTGTCCACTGAAGTCCACTAATAGGAAAACAAATATAAATTCAAAAGTTTGAGACATATGGTAGACACACAAATTAGAAAAAGTTGTTCCTCACGGACGCTCTTCATAGTTTTCTTCAATAAACAATATAAAAGGATCTCACAATATCAAGATAAGCATCAGTCATACATCAGTACTGAAAGGGTAGTATTCAGGAAATTCATGGATAACTTTTACAGCTTCATTGTACATTGAAAGATCTGAAAGAAATTGGACAGAAAATCAAAATAGAATGTATTGTTCTTTATTAAAATACATTGTGCTCTAATGATGCATTGATCAGATTTTTCATCTATTTTGAAAGAAAAGGCTAAATTACAATGTTAATCCAGTTGCAAAATATTTCAAGAAATTGCTTTTAATATTGTGGTTGAATCTACAGATAAATTAAACTGCAAGAGTTTTCAGGTATGAAAGTATATCCATAATAAATCTTTATATAGATGAAAAATCTAGGCTAAACATCAGTTAGGATCCTGCTCAGCTGAATATATGCTCATATTTATTTTTCAGATTAAGAAATTTTGAGAGCTGGTTTACTGTCGCAAAGTTGTGAATATTTCTATATTCACATGCTTAGACGTGGAAACAAAAACTATGATACTGAAACACAGGCTCCATATGGATTTAAATTCTGATGTAATGAAATTGTGCATATTACAGAAGAATTAGCAAGAGACTTTGAAGAATTAGAAGCTTATTAAAGAGTAAGAAATAGCCACAACTTGAAATACAAAAATAACTTGCTTACCAAACATGTTTTTATCTTCTTTGAATTGTATATATGATGAACATACGATACTCAATTGATTTGTAACTCTTCCTACTACTTCAATAATACCAGAGATCTCTTCTTCAAGCTAGAAAAGTAGATGAGAGTCAGCATTTCCAAAAATCAGGAATTTTAGTCATTTCAATTACATTTGGGAAAAGCAAACTAAAATGAAGTCTTTCCCCTCAGTTAAAATTCATCAATAAATGAATTTTCCCTCAGTTAAAATTCATTAATAAATGAATTTTCTAGTAACCATTAAGCAATGCTTTAACAAAAAAGTTTAGTGTGTATTAAAGATTTTAAGAAGCCATAGCAGAATAGAAAAGATCCCACTCAGTATTTTCTGCTCATAGAAATAATTTCTATTTCCTCAAATTGCAACTTAAAATTAATTTCTTGAGAGCATTTGGCTTAATTGATACTTGCTTTTCTCTTATTGGCATTTAAATTACAGCACTTAAAACTGGAGTCTGTACTTTGGTTCTGTAAAAATAAAATGTAATTGACTCCATATCAGTCAGTATGGATGACAAAAAAGTAAGGCATATAGCATCCTCACAAAATTATATGACAAGAAATGATAGTGCTAGGAGACACTATCTTTGGCACACAAAGATAAAAGAAAACAGATATCAAGACATGATTTAAGGAGATTCTTTTTGATCCTACAGCATACATTAGGATATGAATTTATTTCATGATAACCTTTTCATAACTTGACATTGGTGTATTACAACATATTAGCATTCAAATTAAAACTTCCCAGACCAGTAAAAATGGTAAATTGTAATAAATTATAAGACTCTTTAATGTATATTCATACGTACAGGTGTATTTAGCTCAATTGCTGCATTTTTTCCTTCTCCATCAGATAGAAAGAAGAATTTCCCAGATTGATGAATCTATCAAATAATAATTCATAGTAATATTTTAATACAGAGACAAAGATACACACAAAGAAAAAGTGAGGTTCACGCTATGTGAGTTAGAATCAGGAGTCTAGTAGCATCTTTCCTTTTTATATACAGGTAGTCCTCAAGTTACAGTAATAAAGCCAAACCATTTTGGTGGTAACTTATAATGGTTGTAAAGCAGGATGGTCATGGACTTTATTTGTGGCAGTTACTAAATGAATTATTGTGGTTAACCAAATAATGCTTCACTGTAAGTAGTTTTGCCCCAAACAGGAAATAAATGCTAGTTAACTGTTGTAAAATGTAGTCGATACTGCAAACAAACATAAATGCAACCCTATTACTGAGTGTCTGAAGTGCAATCTGGTGACTGGTAGGAGGGGCTAACTGTCAGAATTTTGAAACTAGGTCATAAGTAGTCCTCAAGTAGATCTACTGGAACTTGAATAGTAGCTATTGGTCATATAGTTGAGGACTATCTGTATAATTTTACTGAAAATGATTAAACACAAGACTAGTACAAACTAAAAAAAGAGAAAAAGGGGGAAAAGGCAAAAAAAATTGAAAGAAAAAAATAGAGGTACAAAAATAAATAGCTTCCAATCTTCTTTACAACAGTTATAAGTACAATTATAATGTAATCTCCCTAAAACTCATAATAATAAAACTTGCCGGGGCAAAAAAACAGGATCACACGTGAAGTTCCAATTAAACTGATTTACTACCACTGATACCTATGAAATCTACTTAAATAAGCGGAGTATTATTTTGGCACTAAACATCAACAGAATTCAAGACAGGTTGGACTTAGCCTCTTTAGTAGCTATGCAGAGATTCTAGGCTGATTCTTCTTTTGACTCCACCCTCAGGTTTTGCCACTCCTTGTCTGACAAAACCATATATCATAAGTTATTTTTCTTTTTTATACAAAAAGTTCCTAAGAGATAGCTAGGTCCCAATAAATGTAGCTTTGTCTTTTCTCTAACTGCTAAAGTTTGAACATTTCATTTTGTTATGTGTTCTTTATATTTGTTTGTGTTAGTTTTCATGTTCTGTTTAACACTATGGGTATTTATGTTGTATGTGTGTGCATACAAACATACATTTGGCTATTTCAGTGAATTCAGTCACCTTCACCAAACATTCCTCTATGATAATGCCAAATGGAAAAATGCCAAATCTTTCCATCTTTGTGTGTACAATCTCGCTACAGGTATCGTAGATACATGACTTTTCAAACTGCTTATCCATCAGCTCCAAGAGGAAAAGTTGGTAGCACCTTTCCAGCTAACAAATTTTGTTAAGACAAACTTTCTTGGGACTGTAGCTCACTTCACCACATGCACAGAGTGCATCTAGTGAAATGAAAACACTTGTGCCTCTTAATAAATCTATTAATCAGAAGAAATGTTACGAGGCTTCTTTTGATTTCAAGGTTGATATTGAATTATGATCTATTTGTAGTAATTGAAAGCACTCTGCTCAAATAAACTTTGCTCATTCTACAATTATAAAAATTATCACAGAATTACTAGAAATTCATGCTTTATCAATAAACAAATGTATTCTTAACAGTATTTTAGAAATAAATAACTTCCAGTTTTTAAAAAATAGCTACTACTATATTTCTTGCCTAGCCTATTACAGTTCATCTAACTTATTAAAGTTAGCCTGAGATTCTGTTACTGTATACGTGCTCAATTAGAGTAGGGTGAATTTAGTGTGATTTATGAATACCAAAAATAAGACACATGATCCACTCATTGCTGCAATCTAAACAGATTCAGATTAAACTAACTGCATTTAGTTATGGGACATCTAATCCTAGTAATAAGTGATATTTCATTTCAGTTGTCTAAGAAAAAGGGCTGAAAAAAATGGCTAAAAATAACACAACATTGAATACCAGCAGAAGCCTAGCCATACCTATTAAAGTTTCCTTAGCCACTTACTGTAAAAAGGCAAGGTATATCCAATAATCTTTTCAGTATTCTTGTGCAAAGGAATGGGATATCAGGCACTAGGCCAAATTTATTATTTTTGATCCAGTTCAGGTGATTGTGTGCTGGCAGCATCATGAATAAGATTATTTTCAAATATTTCTGTCATCTATTGAGATAGTCTAAGAATCTTACAATTTTTTTTTTAAAAAAAACTTATTAGTCCACAATTACTATCCATCTAAATTATGTATTCTTCCCCAAAGGCCCTGCTGTTTTAATTGCCTTCTTGCATGTTAGCAGAAAGAGAGTTAACTGACCTCAGAGTGAGAGGTAATCACAAGAAAGCCATTTTTCTGCTACCATCTCCCAATTTTTCAGTATCCCGGCCATCTAGAATCTACTGGTTGGCAAATTTTATCTGAAGAATACAATCCCAAACATAATGAGGATTTCAGACATAATGGGCATTAGGGATTATAATCTGCATGTTGAGCTGGGCCTGGATGCTAACCAGCAATCAGTGCAGTGCTCACATTAAAAGTGTTACTATGTTAAACCATTTCATAGCAGTAGGCAGGAAACTTCATTCTGTGTCAATTGGAGCTTCTGGATCATTTACAGGTCCACTGTGAAACAAATTACTAAGGCATTGACTTAAGGTTAAGAGCATGACAACCGTATCCATGTTAAACTGTTGAAAGCAACAAAGCAAAGAAAAAGTATAATCAAACATTCAAAATCCAAGAGCACCAAATACACAGACATAGAAAAACGATGCCTCTCTTTATTTGCTATACTACTTGGATCTCTTTGTACCTTTTTGTTATTCTTAACTGATAATAAGTTGTTTTTAAATTATGCATTACATGACCAATGGGTAATTTTCTTCAACTCAGTAAATAACACAGGCCCCTTATAAAATATAGGGAAGCCCCCAAAATCTAAATTTAATATGATATAAGTCACTAATTTAAAGCACCACTGTAACACCTCCAAAATTACAACCCTTGATCATTAGAGCAAATTTAGTCTAAAGAGGAATACCTCAATATGCGTACAAGTTTAACAAACGGCCTATCTCATAGTAAATATTTCATATGCCATCGCTATCAAGAATAATATGAAATATAAATGACTCCCCTTACTTGAAATAAAAGTGCTGGAACCTACCTGCCTGCCATTTCCCAGATCAAGAAAATTCTAAGTCGCACTAACAGCAAAGGAACTGCCTATTACCTTTTCAAGGCGTCCCACGAAACAGACAGGCTTTCCGATGTATTGCGACAATTGACTCGCGCTGACACGAACGCGGGAACCTTCTAATATATCGGCCATTGCAGAAGGAAATCCAGGTGAACCCCTCGGCTGTTGGCCTTGGCGGGAAAAAAAACTTGACTCCCGCTCTCGTGCCAGAGAGCGAGCGTATCGCCACCAGCAACTAAAGGCACGTGGAAGATCCAACCTCCAATAACGTTCCAGAACAGCAACGTCCGCTAGGCACGTGATAGACCGTCAAGGAGGACAGGCGGGCAAATAGCGTAATGCGCAGGCGCCCTGTGTCAATGTGCGCTGAAGACCTAAAATCATAGCCTCCGGGATGCATCCTGGGTGAACCGGAAGTGAAGTTTGTTGTGGAAAAGTGTCTAAAAGAGGTGGGTGTTTGATGGAGCCGAGTAGGGTTAATGCTACGGTTGGATTCCATTTGCTGACAGGGGAAGTTGGAAAATGTAACTCGACGGACCAATAATTGCGTGATACCCTCAATCGTTAACCGGGACACGAGACGTTAATTTGATGGTTTTGATGTCTGAAGTATTTTGACGGGCGAAGAGTTTCGGATATGCTCATGAGCTGGTTCGGAATTCTTGAGGCAATTCTGACAGATTTTATTTGCATGATTAGCGAGAATATCAGTCATGCACAAGCTTGATTTGGAAACCTCTTTCTTCAGACCTTGTTGCGTGTGTGCATGTGTCTGCAGTTTTCTTGGCAATATTTTTAGTTTTGCTATTGCCTTCTTACTAGGACTGAGAAAGAGCGATTTGTCTCACAAATCTCTTTCTAGTTTGTGCCTTAACTCATACATCAAACTGGTTGCTTTAATCTTATTAGAGTACAGCTGCTTGTGAAACTGGTCCTTTTGTGTTGAAAATGGGAAGGCTTGTTGTTACAGCTACAAGTAGTGTCTCATTTGCAGCTTACAGTGGCACTAGAAAACCTTAGCGATAATAATAAGTCCATTCAATCCTACAAAATTTGGTTTAATTTTGATTTAATTTTGTACTTAGGTAGCCCCAAATTTAAACATATTGTTTTTTTTTCTGTTCCTGGAAAATGCTTTTTATTTTCTTGTCACAACTACTGTACAAAATGTTTTTTTTAATGCATTCTATTACCTTTTTTGGAAGGAGCTAGGCTATAGCACTTGTGACTGAAAACCAGAGGCTCTTGAATATCCAGAAAATAATTAGTCCCTTCCATTTGAACACTGAGTGGGATAGGAAATATAACATCTTCAAGATAAGCGAAATTAGATGGTAATTGTTTACTGGTAGTCACTAGTATTGTGACATGTCCTGTTTTGTAGGTGACTCGCTATAAGTGCTTGATCTTACTGCAGTTATAATTGGGGACTAATATGAACTGCTAGGGAATAATTTCAACTTCCCATCCTTGGAATTAGAAGTGGTTTAAGACAGGAGTCCCAAACCATGGCCCACTATTGGACTTTGAGCTGTTTGTAACCTGGCTGCAGAAGTGGTGGACAAACATGAACATGTGTGCACATCCCCACATGCTCAAGCAGCGGGGGAGATGGTATGTGTGTGCTCCATTTGTGTGAGTGGCAGGTGCAGGAACCGGCCACTCACCCACCTATGTGTGTACCTGCCACTCATGTGGACCCATCCCCTCTACCTTCCCCTGCTAATCTGCAAAGCTGGAAAGGTTGGGAAACTCTGGTTTAGTAGTTCATGATTGTCATGTAATCATGGGTTTGAACCAGATCGTTACTAGTCCAACTTGACTGCCTCCTTTAGATCAAGTGTTCATCTCAGAAGACGTGTGTTGTCATTTGGTTCTATGGAATTTTTCCATTACTCCAGTATCACGGAGAGATCACTTTCTTGTGACAATATCGATTGGATGTACCAATCTATCAGTAAGATTGCTTGTAGAAATGCATAATGGATTCAATAGGTTTGTTGGCAGCCCTTTGGAAATGCTTTAGTGTACAATCAGTTTTGTTAGGGTGTCTGGAATATGGAGGCAACCAACGTGTTTAACAATATTGCTTCCAAGTGGCCTCTTCCCATCTCCTGATCGCATGTAGCTGCTTAGTTTACTGAGGCAGTTTGAGAAATTAAATGGCAATAAAGATGGCAAAATAATTCATTTAATTATAAAACTGTGAATAAAATGAAAACTAAGAGATTATATATGTTTAGACATAAATAAGAACTTTTTTGTAAGTCAGTTGTAGGTCAGTTACCTTTCAAGGTTACCCTTGAAGAGCATTTGGAAACTTCAACTAATATAAAATACTGCTGCATGGATAATAAATGGTGCCAGTTTCACACGACATGTAACTACAGTACTCCATGAACTGCACTCCCTGCCAGAGTGTTTATTGGTGCAATTAAAGGTGCTGGTTTCACTTTTACAGTCCTATTTGGCTCAGTACCACATTACCTCACGGACTGTCTTTTTCTCAAAAGAGTTTCTACCTGGTAAAACCAATCCAATGGCATGCTGTAGCCAAAATGTGTTGACTGGTAGGAACTGGAAGAATGACTTTTTCTTCTGTAGCCTTGCCTTATTTAATATTCTTCCCTAAGAGATAGTACGGCCCCAGTCATGTTGGCTTTTTGCAAAGCTTTAAAAATTTGCTGTGTATCTGCGCTTGAGGTTCAGAGTGGGTTAAAGCCCTGTTACTTAGTGTTACTATTAGTTGATTAATTATAATGGCTGCTGTTTGTGTTTATTTATTTTGTGGCTGCTTCTATTTAATGTTTTTGAAATTGTTTCATAATTTTAGAATTGTAAGTCCTCCAGGACACTGGGTTGAGTTGGGCAGCTATACATATTGAATGAAAAACAAACAAACAAATAAATAGTAACACAATTATTAAGTGAATCTGGCTTTCCCACTGACTTTGCTTGTCAGAAGGACACAAAAGGTGATCATATGACCTTGGGATACTGTAACCAATATAAATATGAACCAGTTGCCAAGCATCTGAATTTTGATCACATGATCATTGGGATGCTGCAACAGTCATAAGTGTGAAAAATGATGATGTCATTTTTTTCAGTGTCATTGTAACTTCAAATGGCCACTAAGTGAATTGTTATAAGTCGAGGACTACCTGTATTTCAAGTATAAAACTTAATTTAAATTATTATTATTAATCTACTGAGATTTGGGCGAGTATCTTTGAGAAAACTCTTTTTTAAATTGTTGAGTATTTTACTATCAGCTGTTCTTCCCTAAAATAATCTGGTTCTTCTAAGAACAATCCAAGTTTAAGTCAGAATAGCTACATCATCAGCATAAAGGAATTCCTCCAGCTCTTATTGTTAAGTTTAGGTTGCTGGAATTCTGCTTTACTGTGTGAAATGCTAATGCTTAGGAATTGACCATTCCTGCTTCAACATACAAAGTCTATGTAGTTTTTTAAATTAACAGTAATTACTTCATTGTCTTTCTTAAGTTTACCCCTTCTAGATGGAATGTTTTTCAAAATTTATTTTGATAATTATGGAAATGTGAATTTGTTTTGCTTAAGCAAGAAAAAGTTCAACTTATTTTTTTATTCTTAGACTTGAATTGCAAAGCGATGTTCAGTTTATTCAGAAAAGGTCAGGATACCAAAAAGGTAGTGGTGACTGACAAAGAAGTAGATGGATTTGTTTTTCTGGGTAAGTAACTTTAATCACATAAAAGTCATTTATTTTTTAAAAAAAATTCTAGATACTGTATGTTACAAGGTGCTAACTGAAAAGTACATAGAATATAGTGCTCAAATAAGTGCAGATGGTTATTAATCCAGTCAATATTTTTTTATAAATTATTTTATAAATTATATCTTGACAATAAGAATGTAAATGAATAGTTTATTGTAGCTGTTACAATTATTTTACCCACATTCTTTGCTACAGGTTTTTTGCATCTGTAACAGCTACCTCACTAAATAAGTAATAATATAGTTGTGATTTATTTCCTTTGGTTATAGAAATCTAAAAATAAGTCAGTAAATGACATATTGGGGTTGCTTTTAAAACCATTATGTTTCTGGATGTTTTAGTTCTAAAGTAGCATTCATTTATTTAGCTATTCTAAAGTAATTCCAGTAGAGTTTACCTCTGAATACAAAACTTACTGAACAGTCACCATTGACAGAGGTTGCAAACACTATTATGTATTTCTATTTGTTAATGCACTTGATCTTGCATTGATTGTTGTCTTAAAACATTAAAAAGTGTAATGAATTCAGTAAAAAAATAACATAAAAAAAGTAACCCATAGTCTTATATTTCAGCTGAATCATATACTAGAGAAGAAGCAGTCCTGGGAAAAATAGTTGTGGGGGAAACAAAAAAGCAAAGATGGTTGGAGAGTTATTGCTTTTGAATAGCTAACTGTTCCTCTATTGTTAATGTTCTCATTGCACTATTTATCTGTGGGAATACTGGTCTTTTTCAAAAGTAGTCTTCAATGTTTGACTTTATCAAATAGCAAATAAGGTTCTCAGAATTCTTTCTCATGAGATTTTGTATGCTGCGTCATATTAAATCCTTTGTTGGTTTGTCTTTAGAGAACGAGAGTGGAAACTATTCCAATCATGTGCCTCTGGGAGTTAGGTAGTACTACTGCTTACTATATGTTGTTTTTCAGTAAGAGTTGCCTACTGCCATGGCATGCATGCTCAAGGGTATGCGCTCATGTGCATCCCAGTGGGCATACAATATAGTTGATGTTTCTGGAAAAGAAAGTTGCCAGAACAATTAAAGAAAAACAACATTACTTCATATGGGTAAATGAAGTATAGCACATGAAATGTTTAGCCTTTTTCATGTGGTCTGTCGAATGCTATGTTTATATATTTTTTGTGTTAACTAGTTAGATGACATAACTCACATTCAGACCCTAGTAACTACATAAACAAATACTACTCTGATCTTCATCCACCCACTTTAAGTTTATCTTCAACTCTTCAAATTTGCTAAACACAAGGATATTGTCTAATTCACATTATTTGCCAAAGGTATGTGAGCTTTTGCCCTTAAGAGAGCAGTCAACAGTCAATATTAATCTTATGAAGTAATTTGTGATTCTGTTCTGGAGATCTCCTTCCTAAAAACTGACAGACCACTACTCTAATATTTGGACTGATGATTTGAATTTAAAACAGAATTTTCTTGTATTCAAGCATGTTACCTTCAAACTCATAACAAACAAAGATGTTCAATAGTTTACATATAAAGTTATGACTTTTCAAAGGGGAAGTGAAAAAAATTACATTCTTAGTTACTGCCTTTTCAATAGCAAAATTGCAACATCTCTATACTTCTTTTACCAAATATGTGTTATTTATTATTATTTACTTTGATGCAGGTAATAAGACTTCCCACCTGATAAACTCATCTATAAAAGCCATTTCATGATTTTAGTTTACAGAATGCCTCTTTTATGTAATAGCTACTTTCAGAAGTGAGAGATTGTTTGGCTTTATTGTTGTTCTCTATTTTATGAATAATAGGGTTAAAAGTTCCACGTGTCTGATTTCAGTACAACGAATTCAATGAGCAAGAACTATGAGGAGACCAGAAAAACAACCCTCTCCAGTGTCATTGATTTCTAGTCGCATAAGGAGATAATTGCTATCTGTTCATTCAGTGTGGAGTCAAGTAATCCTCTTGGGTACTTTGTTTTACACAAAAACAAAGTGCAGTATGCTTTTGAATCATTGGGTGGCACATTTCTTCATGTTCGCATGCTCCTTGACTGAATTGATTGCAGTATCTATTAATAACCACCTCTTTTATTTAAATCATATTTCAATATTATAAATGTGTTTTCAGAATTAATGAAATGAAATTTGTAGTCAGTTTGCAAATTTGAAATAACAAAAATCTCAAGAGATGTTTCATCATTTATTTCAAAACATGATTAATGATGAATCATGTGAGAAGAAAATCCTTATAAAAGAAGTGAATTTGCATATTTTAAAAGAGACAATAATGGAAGCAGGAATAGGAATTACTATAAGCTTTATGTTGTATTAAAATTATAAGAAGTACAGTATATATGTTGTCTAACTTCATGAATATTGTCATATCTTGACTGAATGAACATGACATTTCTAATGCAGATTAATAGAATTTAGATAACAAAGGAATAATACTTTCTGGTGTAAGGGAAGTTTTTCTTAATAATAGAATCTTCTGTGTACTGCTTTCTCTGGAGTTTGTACAGTGTCGTATTTGAGAATTCATATTGCTATCTACAAACACAAAATGTTTGTCTTCCAGCAATTTTATTCATAGGTGTAGTTTGTTTTACAGTTCGGTAGTGGATGTAACCTTTAGAAATAACATCTGCTACATTTGGATAAAAATAGGAGAGTTACTTCTAATCTATAGAGAGAGAATGTTTTAATTTGCCATGAATTTTTGTAAATTTATAAAATTGCACTACTTTTCAAATCTACCACATATATCTTTATGTAGTTAGCTTTTAAAATGTATTTAAATATCTTAATATGAAATATAACAACATTCCAAATAGTCAAAAGACCCTGCAGATGGATCATTGTTTAAAAAGATACTTTGCAATCTCTGTCTGTTCTCATGTTTCATTCTAGGTATCAATTTTCTCTGAAAAAATATATACTTATGGTCAAGTCATTTCTGCAGATAGTCCTTGGATTGTAAGCGTTCATTCAACAACCATTCAAAATTATAATGGTACTGAATGAATGGAACTTATGACTAATTCAATGGGAAAGCCTGCAGGAGGTCACAAATCACTGCTGCTCTCACTGCATTTTTGCTCACCTGTCTGTGCTCTGTAGCGCCTGTCCACAACTCTGCCCATCAGCCAGTGCTCTGTAGTACCCACTTGCTACTCTGCTTGCATGAGAGTTCTCTTACCATGTTGTGGTCATATGAAGTCTTTCCTTATTGCCCATGCAATTCTGGAGTTACAATAGCAACCAGATTGCCAGGATTGCCATTGCTAAGCAATGCCATTATGTGACATTATGCTGCACAACTGCATCACTTAGCAACAGAAATTCTGGTCCAAGTTGCCCTTGTAACCTCAGGACTACTTGTACAATTTTCCTTTGTGAATTTTTTTAATTTATGGTAATGTATCCAGTGTTATATTTGCCAAAAACTGGTGAACAAATATACCTGCTACCTATATTATGGGAAGATCTGTTTCTTCTCAGCAGTTGTGCTAAGCCAGAGGCCCATTACTGAGCTATGTATTATCCAGAGCATTTTTCTTATCCCATGTTTTCCCTAGGATCTACAAATGTTAATAAATTACTTTTAGTAATACTGTCCATTAGTACATCATTGCCCCTTTCAGTCTTAGCAAAAGAATTGTATAAACAGTGTGACAGACTAAAGTTTAGAAATACCAGCAAATGAGGTAAAATGATTGTGCCAAGAAAAGGGAAACAGTGCAATCGCAGAGATGGCTGAACACAGGCAAAAAAGGAAAAAAGTAGTTTCAGAGAGAGAAGAAACAAGCACGTTTAAAGAAAGGTTAGTAGTAATGTGTTACTGTGCTTTGGAAGCATCAAACAAGGAGCTGCCTATCTGGAACCAAGTGATAATAATTTTTATGTGATAATTGTGTTGAAACTTATTTAAGAAATATAAAAAGGCAGAGCAACTTTTTAAATTTTATTTTTTTAATAAATTCAAGAACAGTTATTTATATTTTAAAATACCCCAGTTTAAATATAATTGTAATCGTATGTTATACATAAACTAAAGCTGTATGCTTTTCTTCTGTTCTTCTATTTTGTAAGGAAAATGAAAAACTTCATAATTTAAATGAAGCAGGTTTTCCATTAATATCTAGATTTAAGTAATATTGATCATTGATGCCAGATTGAGCAACCTCTTAAGGGCAAGGGCATACATAATCTATTTTAGGCTGTAAGAGATACATTGGGTAAGGCAATGATACAAACTGAATTTCTTTTCTTTTTTTCTTTTTTAGGGAGTTAGAACTGCGGACTTGTTTGCTTTTGAAATGATATTAAGCCTTTTGTAGAGAAAAATAATACAGTTGTCACATGTATTCCCTGTCTTAATTGAAATTATTTATTAATATTTCATACTTCTAAACTGATGCTGATGATTAGGTTAATCTTCAATTCACAATCAGGACTGGTAAAAACTTTAGAGTTCAAGTCCTAAACAAAGAGCTAAGAGCTGTTAAGGTAACGTCTGAGTATCTAGGCAGTTCTAAATAGGGTGGTTTTTTTGCAAAGACAGGATATTCAGGTCTAATAAGTTCAAAGTTTCAATATATCTATGCAACCCTTTGGGAATTGCTCCAAGGATTCCTACCATGTTTCCCCGAAAATAACACCTATCTCGAAAATAAGCCTACCTTGATTTTTTGTACATGCACCCTATATAAACCCTACCCCAAAAATAAGCTCTAGCTAAGACCCCCCATCCATTCTTGTACCTAGTTGCACGAGGGGGAGAAGGCACATAGGTAAAAATCAAGTTATAATGGTGATAGGGGAGGATGGATCTGCCCCACATGCTCCGCACCTACCTTACTTACTTACCTTACCTTACCTTACCTTACCTTACCTTACCTTAGGACAGTTGCAGCCAGGCATTCCACATCTGACACCTGCCTCACCTTGCTGGCCTACTTCTGC